AAAACAAGGTGACAAAATGATTTTGAGTCATAAGTTAAATCAGATTTCATAAAAGAAATTAAAGTATCCCAGTATAGTTGTCTTTTCCATTATCACACAGCATATAGGATATTGGGACCACACCAATCTCTGACATCTAACAGAGCATGCTTCACCATGTAGAAGTGTGCTTTAAATACAATTGTGTGAATTGATTTTTCAGTGACTAACTGCTGAACCACAGTGTTGAAGACAGTTTGATCAGATCAAACTACAATAAAAAAATTTAAAATATACTAGCATACAGGTTTTTTGCATCTGAAATAAAACCAGGAAAAAAAATATTTGTTCAGGTAGCATGTTTTAAGCTAAACACTTGTAATAAAAGGAAAGGAATCAGAGACCAGGGAGATCAGCAGGAGCACACCCATTTTGAATTGAAGAATGAAGGTGTTTACCCAGCTGGCAAAAGACTGAGACAAAGATGGACACCAACACTAAGAGTTTTCAAAACCACCTTCCCTTCATTTCAGGAAAATGCACATCTGTTCTTGTTTTCATGTGCAGTAATTTGTTTGTTTAAAGGCTTTTCCTCTTCCAATCAGAAAAGATATTTCCTATCTGAATCTATTTGGTAAATTTGGTAAATTGTGTTTTTCAAGACTTTTGGGGAATGGTCATTTCACTTCATCTACCACTGTAATTACCTTCAGTGTTAGACATAATCACAAAATATTGTGATGATATACTGCATATGAGGCACATAACAGAGAAAATACCTGAATAGTACCTGATCAGCCATGCATGGGCAGAACATTAATCTTGGCACGTCTCACAATGGCATGGTTTTCTTGCCATAGTGAAAAAGTAATTTCATTGATACACCAGATTTAGGCTACTGGTACATGAGAACGTGACTTTTGGGGACCACTTAAATACCATTTACTTACTGGATATACAGAGAATGAAAGATCAGGTCCAAACTTTAAGTTACCTTCAGTTCTTAAAGGCAGTAGAAGTAAAGTGCAGCAGTAGGGATGAAACTTATGAAAAGGCTAAAACCATCAGCTGGAAACATCCCTCAATATCAGTGAGATGTTTGCTCTTAAATTAGTTAAACTGTTGATGATTCTGTGCAATTAACTTGGCTTTTTTATCTTCTCATGCAATAGGGTTCTTCAATACTGATTTAGCTACACAATTACTCAACAGAAGAATTACTTAATTGCTTAACTTGAATATTAACAGCCAAATAATAGCAGCTAAATAAATAAAGATCAGTTTTCTAAATCCCAGCAGTACCTCCAAAAACACAGCAGCTCAAAACCTGGACACACTTACCCTTATTTGTGGTCATTTGTTCAATATGTATGCTTCTTCAAGTAGTCCCTGATCATTAACTTTTTTACTTATAAAGCATGTGAAGTTGCAAAATATAAATACCTTCACTCCAAGCAGAAATTATTCGTAATAATACTGTTGCAGTAGTTCAAGAAACTTACTGGTTTTGTAGCAGTCAGGAACCCAAGATATATTTGAAAGGTACATGCAGCTCAGGCCATGGAAGTATTTTTTACCATACTCTCCAGAGCAATAAAATCAGCATAGAAGTGGGCAGAACAAACCTTCCATACAAACAGAGAACAAACTTACACTAGTGCTTTCCATTTAAACTCTGCCTTTAGACACCCCAAACTCTCCCTTTTTAAGGCGTTAGTAGTTTTGTTGTGCTTTTATCGTGAGTAATTTGCATCTCTAAATTTTAAAGATATCTGATGGTATGTATTCCAACTAATAAATAATATCAAAGATGTTAATAACACCGAAGACATTAGTTTGCATCAGATGTCTCTCTAGTGCACGTCCCTTTCATTTAACTACTTTTTGGTAAGGTGTATCAGCAATTTCCTTTTCTTAAATCCTTAACTAAGATAATTTTGTCAATGTTTAGCGTGTTACTTTTAGTCTTTTAGTATTACACTATACAGCAAAATCCTTCTGACACAAACAGGTAGCTTCAATGATGGATTAATGTATCAAGGACATCAGCTCCAGGTATGCAGAACACCTTTGCTGCTGCAGACTGCTTGAATTCCATAGAGAAACGTGAACAGATAGAGTGTTTCTAGATGAATATACCATCATAGGAAAGAGCAGTGCAGTGTTGTCATTTCCAATTAAAAGGTAGTAATCTCTTATTGTGATCAGTTACTTAAAAGATGCTTTCAAGATAACTTTGCAGTCAAAAATGCTTAAATATTTCATTCTTTTTCTAAGGGATCATGAACCAGTTCCTTGAGTGAAAACGAACATACCTGATTTGAGTGTACTTGAGTATAAAAATGATGGTTTCATTCAAAGGAAAAACATATCAAAAGTAACATATCTGATGGAACTCTAGCCTGGACAGATATAGATAAATAAAAGTTGAAATTTAGTGCTAGTTGTGTCACAGGAAACATAATGCAGAAATTTAGGCCAAGATGCATTACAAAAGTATCACAGTTTTAAATGCAATACCCAAACATGTTCCAACCCACTGTGAGGCCTCAGTCTTTGGAGTGTTCTCTGTTTGCCAGCCCTGACTAACTTCAGATATTAAACTCCAGTTATGAATGGTGAGATGAAGGAATCAGGGCCAAGTGTGTACTGTGCATTGTCACTAGGGTATACATATCATAAAACTGCATACTATGTTCCAGGCCCACAATCTGAACTTTTTATTGTTTGTTTTGTTTTTTGGGGGGTTTTTTAAAGAAAATAAAAGTTCATACTGTCTATTAGTTATTCCTTTGATAAACAAATATTGCAATGAAGTCAACATGGCCTTCTTGCTCCTATTCCTATTTCTCTTTTCCACCACTCACTACTTCACTATCATTGTTTCCCCTTCATCAACCTACGATGGTTTGCCCAAGTCTAGCAGAGATTTTGCATGAGCAAAGCAAACAGTATTTGATCCCAGACAACAAATTAAATTAGTAGTGTATACTGACTGCTCTCAGATGAGTCACTTTCTACTTCCAGTAAGACTCTGCATCCAAACCTTGAATGTCTAGTGCCTGACAAGTAAATTATCTCAGCACAGCTTAGTTGCTACTCATGTGATGGAGGAAGGAAAACAGGCAACTTCATTTTCTTTTAGGCAGACTCAAATGAACACCCTATTGCATTCGCAACGTACACAAGCTATTTCCTCCCTCTGTGGTGTTATTCTTCCATGGAACCAAAGGACACCCTGCTCTCTGCACCCAGCAGAGAAGACAAATGCTGCTCTACCTATGGACTGCAAAGGAGGGAAGGAGGAAGGGAGGGAGAGAGAGCTTTGTGCCTTCTCTGCTTCTCCCTCACTCCAACTTTGTGCTCTGGCCAGATGCAAGGTGACTCTAAGCAGTTACATGTGTGGACTTAAAGATTACAAGAGAAAGAAAGTGGATGGTCCCTTTTTATTTCTCCTTCTGTATATGGAACTCCTTTCTGTCTTTCCTGGGTGCTCCCTCTGTAGACTGATGAACAACAGGTCAGAGGAGGCAGAAAGGCTTTTTACCTGCCAACCCCAGAGTTCAGGATGTGTTGTTTCTCCTGCAGCAGTTGATGACACCCTAACAACCTTAGCAGCACTGGAGCTGCATTCCTACGCTGTAACAGGGGAAGCAGGACCAAGGGCCTGAACTAAGGTCTTGGCAGGTAAGTGAAGGAGCAACCAGTATCAAAGAGCTTCGTTTGCAAGTGTACGTCTCTGTAATGTTCAAGTCTTAATATGTGCTCTGCTTTACCTGGGAGCTTAAACTTCCAGTTTTCAGAAAAGTATTTGAGAATACCTATTAGCTCTGCCAAATGCTTGAAAAATGTTGAAGAAACTCATAAATGCAGAAAACCTGTAAAGGAAGACTATTTGTGCTAAAGATGTCTCAGAGCTGGGATTTCTTCTTAGAGCTAAGCAGGAGTTATTTAGATTAGTGGGGGAGGGAGAAGCTTTGTGCTACAAACATATTTTTGTAGCAACACTTAGAGTGACTGAGACCATCACTGTATGGTGAATACTTAATATTCAAAATATGAGCTCTCGAGATTGGAAGGGGATTTTTTTGCTTGGCTGCTTGTTTTCTTTCAACCGAACACATAGGGAACACCTGATGAAATGAAATTTTCATCTCCTTACTACATTCCACTTCTTAAGCTTAATTATCAGAACCAGGTTTTCCACATGAATATCAATATGACTGAAAACATACTTTATTTCAGTAGTTGTCAGGAATTGTGGGTTTGCTGGCAGTACCATATTCCACATGATTCACAGAGTACACACACAGAGGAAGTCTTTACCACTATAGCAAATCTGATTAAATAGATATTTGCAAAAAAATAAGTGATTCTAGTTAGTGGGTCTAAAAAGAAGCAAAAAACCATTAAAAACATCCTTGCATAAAGGAAGCCTTTCTTTCCCTTGCTTGTGGTAATATGAGGGTAATGGATGCCTTTCTGCTCAGACGCCAGTATGTTTTACTTTTTGGAATGGAAAACAAATTTAGGTCAGAAGAGGAAATCATAAGGAGCTGCCACATGCTAAGTTCTATATCTGAGCCATCTCCTGCCACTCTATCTTGGAGAGAGAAAAGGGAACATTCATAAAGCTTGAAAAACTATCCAGAACTGGTGGGGCATCAAAGCCCCATCAATATCCAGTTCAGACATTCAACTTCCCCATATTCATACTGTTGCTAGTATTCTCAGTTAACTAAGTGAAATCACTCCAAAAGTGACCTCTAAGTATTTGCCCATCTTTCAGTGGATAAACTGTGAGCTTCTAAAACACTGCATGTCCTAATAGCAACTGTAAATTAATATTCATCATAGTTCATGGGAAAAGTCATTATAAAAACTTTTTTCCAAAATTTTAGACACTAGAGTTAAAAATGATACCCTATATAGGTCTATATCTTTTAAAAGTTTGCATTACTATAGTCATTGTTTTAAATTAACTTTCTCTAGACAAAATAAAGTGTTGTACTACATTGCAGCCTCACTGTTAGGAATGAAGATAGAGGAGACAATGCAGGAAGGCCAACACATACGACCAAACTGGAGAGTATCCAGGTCATAGAAGAATGGTAAGTTGGTCAAACTGTTATCTAATAAGTGTTTTGTCTTTGACTAATATCAAGAATTGTCTTGGGTTTAAATCTTTGGGAATGTCCTTTTAATTATTTTTCCTCCAAAAAATTCTACACAAAAGGAAGCAAAATCTGTCCTGACAATGAAATGACAACAGAGACGTTCACAAGTCAGGCTTATTTACAGTTTCTTAGTTGTAGGGAAGAACCACGGGGAGAAATGGAAGGTGCATAGATGGTTCCGTATGTAGGTCTCTATAAGGAGCCTCTGCTGCCTGTGAGAGCACTTTTTCCTGTCTCTCCAGACAAGAAGAAAAAATAATAGTCACAAGTGTACTTAATGACCAGATTTTTAACATGGCTACCTTTCATAAAGCATCTTGAACTATGGTTTCACTTGAATTAAAAAAAAAAAACAAAACACATACCTTACAATGTAGGTTGAACACACAAAGTCTGAGCTTCTACTTCTGTCTAAAGCTTGGGCCCATGTTTATTGTGCAGGGAAAAATTGTAATCTGTCAGGGGTCATGAGTTCTCTAATCCCATAAGAAGGAAATTCAAACTTTAAAGGACATATATGATGACAAAAACAACCCAAACAACTCATTGCCCTTATTGCTAAGCATTGTCTTTTATGAGAAGACAATATGGTAAATTTCTACAAAATACAATAGTGAAGAGCTTCCCAACAGACAATAAGGAAGCCCAGGTTGTTTGTCAGCCCCGTTCAGTTCAGCAGGTTCTTTGCACTCTCCTCAGTGGAGAGTGCAAAGTGCTGAGAGGACTGTTCACCTTAAAATCTGTGTTTAAACTTTTTCATTCAGTTTACAATCACTTTACAGTTAAACAATTTGTGATTTATCACAACTACCTTCCCATCATCCAGTCTGCCTTGCGTACAGAGTAGGAGTTGATAAATTGACTTGAACAGAAATTATACAGACAAATGTCACCTATTGTGTATCATAACAACACAGACACTAATGACAACAGCTAGTAAAGCTCTTGTGTTGGATCAGGAAGGAGAGGGTGAGTGCGCAAAATTAAGTTTGAAACTATATTAAATTGTTGTAAAGTAATCTGGAGAATTACTTTCTTAAGCTATTCATGGGTACATTAATGGATTAGTGACGCCAGTAAGTCTTCTGATCACTTACCCAGTGCATCCACTGGTAAAAGCCACAAATAGTTTCCTTCAGGAAATGGAAATAAGGACTTTTCCCCATTTCTTCTCTTTCCTGTTTTGCCAGCAAAATCCATCACATCTCATGCCAAAAGATCATAATTCAGGTCAATAGCATGAAACAGAGGGAAGCTTAGCAACCCTTACATACAAGCACAGAGAAATATGCTAATTTAAAATCTCTCTGAATTACTACTTTGTTTAGCCTCATTAGTATGCTTTTGGCTGCCAAGAGCTTTTTGTTTTTCTTTTTCTTCCTAAACCAAATCATGTACAGTCACCATCAGAGGCAGGCAGGGACATCAGGTGTCATCTAAACTCTTCATGAAAGAATCTGTTTCCAGCTTCCTGGAATCTTCTTTAACTGCAGAGGTAGGAATTCGGTGCTGTTGTAGGATTTTGTCTTTGAGCCACATGGCTAAGAACACCAGCAGAAAACTCAGAAAAAGTCAGGTGCATGTCTTATAACATTAAACACATTTAGTGGGCTATTGGGATAATGAATGCACAAGTGAAGAGCAAACAAAATTCCTCTGTTATTGCTGAAGCCTTGTTGCTTCCATTTTTCACTTTGGACTAAAGTGCAGTTGAAAGGAGAATTTTTGGATGAATGTATGAAAACATTATTACAAAAATAGAAGCATATTTGTAATGATATTTTCTTTTGCAGCCAAAACCCTACTGCAGATGAAATTTTGTCTTGGGCTCAGAATTTTGACAAGATGATGAAAACACCAGCTGGGAGGAACCTTTTCAGAGAGTTTCTTAGAACGGAGTATAGTGAAGAGAACCTGCTTTTCTGGCTTGCATGTGAAGATCTAAAGAAGGAACAGAACAAGAAAGTCATTGAAGAAAAAGCAAGACTTATATATGAAGATTACATTTCTATACTATCACCAAAAGAGGTAAAGCTGTAAATGTTACATTTGCATTATTCTGTTATCCCACAGCAGAAATGTTATGCACTGGACTCCCTGGTGAGGCTCTGAACACCTGCCAGATGAAAGTCTTAGTATGAACATTAAATCAGGAAAGGAATGGACAGTAGCAGTAGAGATGCAGGCACTGGGCCATTTAGCATTACCAGCCACAGTTCATCCGAGTTCTCTATAGGGCTCAAGAAACTCCAGTAAGAGAAAGTTGAGAAATAGCTTTGCCTCTTTAGTAATGCTACATGTCTGACAGAGAGAGGAAATAAGTAATGCAAATGGATTCCTGGAGAAAAAGCACCAAACTTAAGCAATTTATATCAGAATCTTTACAGATTTATCCACTGCTACAATTGTCTGGCAGCGGATAAATCTGAATTTCCGCTGGTTATTTCTATGTGAGAGTCCAAGAATGAAGCTGACATATTTTATCTAATAAAATGTAAAATATCTAGGGAATAAGATTTTATTCAACCCTTTAACTGAAATAGACAAATTTTGAAATTATTTTCACCTGTAGTAAAGAAAAAGCATCCCTATCAAACCATTTTTTGTAATACAAAGAGATACATAAATATATAAGCACTATAGAGGAGTTTTTCTTAGGCCACATCATGTACATTTATCTTCTTTGCCTTATCTTTGTGCATTGCATTTGAATTTTTATTCAATGGCATTATGCTAATTTATGGTCACTGTGGAACTTCCTTCCTACATTTTACTTTTGCACTACATTCAGTAATAATTTGCAACTTCATTGACATGAATGAAGCCAAAAGTGAATTATAGCTCCATTATCTTCCCTTGTGCCATAGTATCTACTTTTGCTTTGGAGTGAAATACAATTGCCAATACAGCAAGCTAATAATAAGTTTTTCTTCTAATACTATATTTTTACCAGACAGGTATGTGATGAATGTTCAATTGTCTTTTTAAGCTAAGACCAATCAACATTTGAAATTCAGACACTAACAAAGCATTTTTTGACTTAGAGTTTAACAAAGCTGCTCACAAATTTGGTGCACTGGATGCATACAGATCTCATCAATCCAGTTGCCCCTGCCCATACTGGAAATCTTAGGAGGCAAAAAAGAACTGTTTGCAATGCATTAGAACAGCATGGGAACTGAAAAATTATTGTTCATCCAGGCATCCCTTTCCAGATGTTATCTTTTGGCATAAGAGCTAATATATTTAGCATGACTGGTACAGTAAAGAAGTTATTGAGGCAGAAGGTCTTAGTGTTCTAAACAGATACTTTGTATTCATCTGCTTAGCAAGAAAATACCTTTAGTAATTCCAACTAGTTTTGCCATCTGGCTTTAGTGAGTCACTGAAAAAATACAATGCAAATTAACAGTTCCATAATTAATTTTGTTTTTTGCATTCTCTGAGAACAATTAACTTTTATTATGCTCAGTGGCTCAAAACCCCACTATACTGCCAAATTTGAGGGGTTTTTTATCCCAGCTATTATGTTTGATGTTGAAGAGCCAATTAGCTGCACAAACTGTTTTTGTGGATATAAATGTGTGTGCCTGGGTGTCAGGGGGAAAATTGCTTAAATCTCAGTGTCCTTTTCTGTCCTGTAGAAATGCAGTGGTCTGGGCCTGAAATCTATTCAAGCACATTCTGAATACACATGGCTGCAAAACTACCATAGTACTGTACTCCTGCCCACACTCACTGACTGAGCAGCACCACTGGTCTCTCATAGCTGTGCCTTGTGACTAATAGACAAGTGAGGGCAAATATTAGAGGAGAAAGCTTGTCTGCTCTGTCAGTAGCATACTCCAGTCTGCCAACAAACCAACAATGCCTACAGCTGGTACTGAAGATAGAATGCAAAATGTATATTTACTTCTCAGTGCTGTACCATACTATGCTACACCACACCAGCATTTTTCAAATACTTTGCTTCACCATGTATGAAAGCAAAGACTCACACATCCAAACATATTCTGAGTTTTCATCTTGGTTATCATCCTTCATGTATCAAGGTATCTTAATACATGGAGATTTCCAGGATTAAAGTCAATCCTCCAGACAGTATGAATATCTTTGTACAGTTGCAGAGCAGTAAGGTCAGATTGCAACTTGGTGTAAATCACAGAGTCTTAACTGATCTCTTCTTGGCATTTATCTACTCAGGATTTTAGCCCTTTTATTCTTAGCTGAGTAAACCCTTGCTGGTCCCAGTGGGCCTTGCTGCTACTGCCATTTCATTTAATCCAGAATGCATTAATTTACTAGGTTTTATAGCATTTTGTGGATAAACTGTACATTTGCTCAAATTTCTAAAGGATATTCTAAAATTATCTGGGCATTCATCCCAAGCATAATATGTCTTTTTCTGCCTGCCTAGGCACAGGAGTTCATCACAAATGGTAAGTAAATGAGAAGCTAAAACTGAAACTTGCTAACAAGTTCAATACGGATATACGATCTCCTGAAAGTCTGAATTACCAGATGTTAAAAGAGTCCTGACAAGAAGAAAAAAACCTGAAATAGTTAATAATAATGGGGAAATTAACACAATAAAAATGACAAAATTTTGGGTAATTTGTAAGGAACAAATGTAGTGTCTGAAAAAGAAACAGAAAAAAAAATCTCTAGGGCAGCCAGATAAGAATGATGAACAGAAATCCTCAAAAAGTGTAACCACAAATGCTCAGGTAAAAAAAAAAAAAAAAAAAAAACCCACAAAAAAACCTTCAGCTCTCTGAACTAGGGTAATTCAACATTCATTTCAGAGAAACATTTTTAAATGCATACAAATTATTTTTAAGGTAAAACAATATATTTTGGAAAACTGCAGTTGCAGTGCACTTAATCTTCTATACAGTGCATTTCATTGTACAGATCTTAAGATGGATGCAAAGACCAAGTGAAAACTGAAATAGAGTTGATGGTCCCAGTGCATTACCCAGTAATTGTGTGATGGTTCTGAAAGAAGCACAGAGCATTACTTGAATAACTGAAAAACTCAGCATGTTCAGTGGAGCCCTGAGAAATAAAGAGACATATTACAACTTTTCCAATGTTATTGTTTCAATATTCTGTGCTCATCTTCTTCAGGTTAGTCTTGATTCCCGGGTGAGAGAAGTGATCAACAGAAACTTGTTGGATCCCAGTCCTCACATGTATGAAGATGCCCAGCTCCAGATATACACCTTGATGCACAGAGACTCTTTTCCAAGGTTTTTGAACTCTCAGATTTATAAGTCTCTTGTTGAAAGTATTACAGGCTCTACTTCTGAAACTTAATTTTCAAACAAATACCTTGATTTTTTTTTTTTTGGGTGGGTGGGATGGAAGAAAATTAGTTTAATAACATCTGGAGCTGGGTTCCTGGAGAACTACAGTTTAGCACTACTCAGGCTACTGTGAAGAAAAAAAAATACATATTATGGTCTCTGTCTACATTTTTACCAAGGTCCTCCTTGCTCAAGAAATACATATTATGGTCTCTGTCTACATTTTTACCAAGGTCCTCCTTGCTCAGAGGAGATGAGTGGTGTGTGGGGGGATCAATGGATTTGCCAAAATACATTTGTTTCACACTCCTTTCACCCTACTGCAGTCAAGATTGCAAGGATGTATTTGTAGTTTTATGAACAGTCTCCTTGTGTAACCTCACACTGCATGTGCAAGGTAAAACTGCTTCACTTACCACTTAGTTGTTGCAATATTTAATCCAATAACATAAATTATAGCTGTATTTAAAAACTTTTTTTTTGTGCAATACAGTCCTATGGTACATAGAAACAATTACAGCAAACCAGAAAGAGGCTTGCATTTTTTAACATCACTAACTAAAAAGCCAATTTTTAAGGTGTAGCATTACTCTACATGCTCTACTGAGTACAATACACTGACTTTTTGAAGCCAATATTTCTGTACAGAGAAAAAGAGCTATTTATCACTGTTTATTTAAAATAAATCAAACGGAGGATTCCTCTGGTTGTTCACTGCCAAAACTGTGGCATTTTCATTACAGAGTTTGCAATGTCAAAGAAAAAGAAAAATAAAAGGAGAAGAAAAAAAAAGCACAAATCACTTAAAGGGATCCATTTCTGGGTGACACAATCTATGCGCTGATATTGTTTAATTGTTAAAAGAACAAAGATTTTCAATGTACATTTCAGATGTCAGATACTGTAATTGATTTATTAAAGACTGGCTATCCAGTTCTAACACTGTTGTATAATGTTATGTACTTCAGAAAAAAAAAAAAAAGAAACAAGAAACAACACAAAAAGCTTGATTATTTAGTTTTTTGAATAAAGAAATTTAATAAAAGATTGCCTACATGTAGCATTTTAGAGCATTTTAGAACATTTTGATGAACTGCATCTGTTCTGTAAGATACTTTTTTTGAAAGCTAAATCCGGTAAAAAATGTTTTTAAATGAAGTAACGTTTTACGAGGTGGAGGGTTAAAGAAGACTTATCTTAGCTTCTAGCCTCATTGATTTTGAACAACTCCTTGAAAACAAGGGGTTTGGAGAGTAATATTAAACCAAACTTCAAGGGCTTCTAAACCCACAGATCTTACCCAAGCAAAATGCCTACAGAAACACAATGGGTATCTTTCCTGGGTAAAGATTCCTGTACTGAGCCCTTAATCACAGCTAAGGCAGCACAGTACTCCCATCACTAGGCTGCCATGGTGTTTTTAATAGGTGTTTGCTTGGCCTTTTTATCAAAGAATGTCCAGTTTCAGGACACATTTTGATGTTTAAAGAGACAGTGACTTGGAACTTAAAAAAACCCCATCTTCATACCTACCATACACAAGCAAAATGAGTGTTAGCATCCCTCATAAACTGCTAAAGACATACCAAGAAATTGCTCTGAATACTTGTTAAATATATATATATATATATGTTTGTGCGTGTATATATATATATATATATATTTAATACTGATAACCATATTAAGACTTAAGAGGCAAGGTTCTTCTCACTTACGTAGGACTAAACATGGCACGAGCCCATGGCTTTTGACTGGCCTGGAAGGTCTGGCAGTTGTGTCCTCGAGTGGAATCTGGCCTGAACACAGTTGGCTCCAACCTCTCAGTTACTTCCTGCGGGCAGCCTCCGGTGCCGGCTTTGGCGGGAGCTGCTGCTGCCGAGGCAGGTCTGCTGTGACACCGTAACTGGGAGGATGCAGGTCTTAGTTTATCTTCTGGGGCTTATTTTTTTCCCTTTGTTTTACTACCTCTCATTTTCTTAATTTATTGAACATGCTTCAGATAGCAGGTTTGGGGAATTTTTTAGTCATTATTTTTACTTGAAACCTGTGTGCTTTTTTTGGATATATATATGAACAATTTGACAAACTGTTTCTTAAACTCATTTGGTTTTGTAATTTATATAGAATTCAGGAGATGATTAAAAGGGCTATTCTCTATTCCCTATGCAAATATTTTAACTGTTGTAGTGTTTGACAAAATGGGATCTAAAACAAAAATCTGCAAAGTGGAAAAACAGATCTGTTTACAGTGGCATTGCTGACTATCCTACCATATTCAGCACTTTTAAATATTGTTATTTATGAAAATGTAGTTTAAAATGCAAGACAAAATATTTATAAATGTTTCTTTTAATAAATACCTGTTTTGTCTGAAAGTGCTACCGTGTTATGACAACTTTATTCATGTTGGTTAGCTACTTACCATTATGAATAAAATGTTCAATTATTATACTGATAGAATACGAGCTATGATGTTTACAAATCCTGAGGGGGGAAAATTCAGTGAGAAAAGACTGCCTCCTTCTACTGTGAAATGCTGTTAGGAAAAAAATAATTTTTCTTGCTTTTTTCTTAATTGGAATTTAACTATGGTCCTACATATGTCTAGTATCATTTGACTAGTTATATTTACTTGGTACTAAACATATACAGCATCATATATGTATATATTTACATGGTGTAATTTCAAGTTGTTGGTGTTTGAGGCACAACATATTTAGTGCACACATCTAACCAATGTGTAAGAGACAAAACTGCATGCATAAGTCCTGACAAATGTAGACTTGAATATTCTTAATGTTACTATTTGATGGTGACCTGCTAGTCATAAGCTATCTTTATAAGATATTTCACACAGGTAGACCTTCTTGTCAACACAGACAAGTCATCCTTTCAAGACAGGTTTAAAGCTAGATGTGCAGGCCCTAAAATATTACCTTGATTTCTAGCATAAGATTCCAAAATCTGTATTTGGAAACTGTGACATAGTTTTGAAAAATATTACACCAATCTTCAGTGTAATACTGCAATGAAATCACGTTGAAAAGTTTATTGTCTAAAATCCTCTGTTGGGAAGGATTTAAAAATTGAACATAGCATATAAAGTTTCTTTCTTGAGAGCAAATGCTCTCATTAAAACATTTAAGATACATTTCATTTATCGGTTTGGGTTTCTCAAATTTTTTTATGACAAAAATGGATGTGGTCCAAATGGACAATAAGTAACATGATCTCATTGCCTATCATACAGTTCTTTGAACACAAACTGTAAAAAAGTCAAGCTATTAAACTGATTTATTGTGCATGCAGTGTACAATACACTTGAAAAACTGCCTAAATACACTTATTCTATAGCTTGGAATAAAATAACTATGTATTTAACTTGTATTTCAGTTTTTCATGAGAATGTGTATAGCAAGTGCACTATAGAAAGTGAGCTATGTTTTTTGTCACTTTTGCCTGGTGTTTTAAATTTCTGTTAAATAGAACCTAATGCCAAAGAGCCAAAAATAAGCAGAATACTTCTGTACCCTCCTGTCCTTTAGGTTGAAAAGAAAGTCAATCTATACTGTGTTACACGTGTGTTCAACTTAGCTGTTTACAGCCAGCTTTCACACAACTGAGCTTAAAGTAGTTTGGGATACCCAGAATGAAGCAAAACTCACAGACAGTATCATGAGCATTCAGATTGACCTGAAGGCACATGTGATGTGAAGGAGACTCGAGGTTTGATGGAAAAAAGACAGGCTGGTGACAGAGGTGTCTGGGCTGCAGGTTAAACAGCTATGTCACAGTACCATGGAAATAGCACGTCCAGGTCCACAGCCAGTCCATAACTCACTTGAGTAGCTGTGGAGTCCACATAGTTCATTTGCAGGACAGCAGAAAGTGGACACAAACCAGACTTCAGCTAGCAATAGTTACTTTTTAAATTAAAAGCATGCTGAAGTGCTGCTAGGCTGTGGTCTAAACCAAGCAAATAAAGGAGACCTACAGTCTAGCTTCAACAGCCAGGGTTTAAGATGTCATCTCATCCTAAACTTGATTCCCTAGGCAGCAAATTCAGTTACAATGAGGCAATATCTAAAACCAGTCAGGGGTTTTTTTCAGTAAGAACAGCTTGCTGGACTGACCATGCTGTGAGCCCTTAGGAACCCACAAATTCCATATGCAAGAAGTGGTTGCAAAAGCCATTTAACAGAAGTATTCCATAAGACCAATTCAAAAGCAATCAAAGCTGATCAAGAAAGTCTCTAACTTCAGCAACTCTCTGCACCACAAGGAGTAAATTCTGTATTTCCACAATATCTTCGATCCTGCTTCTGGCATTGTTGGTCCAGTCAACAGAGCCTGAGCCTTTATCAAATCCAACAAAGCACAAAGCTAAGGTTGCACATAGGCAGATAGCTGCAATGTCTCCTCCAAGACATTGAATCACGTCTAACTACCAACTTCCAAACAGGGTTTTTCTCAGGCTATCATGCTGTTATTTTTTAAGAGACCCAAGAATAGCACTCTAGCACATCCTGAGACTCGAACACAATGACAAAAGTTCCATCCCATTTACCAATACACTTGAGTACATTTGCAGTGACAAAGCATCATCCCTGTTTGAACATGTTCTGAATACTTCTGCCAGCAGTACAAGTGATGTTGATGGGATGAAAGAACAAAGCAATAATAGTGCCAAAATCAGTTAGACAAAGACTTGACAGAAACAGTGGTTACATATTATTTTATACCAAAAGCCTGATTTTGCCCCTTCCTTTATCCATGAACTCACCCTGTGGAAGTCCACCCTTCTCATTTAAAACAGGGACATCATTCAGGTGATTCAAAGGCTGACCATCAGTCACTGACTCAGATTACTTTTTTGTTTTTTTTCTCAAAAGCTTTATCTTAAATTACCCCTTACTCTAAGTTTCCTGAGTTTTCCATAGGTCTCTTCACAAGCTGGGCCTACACAGCAGTTAGCCACTCATTCATTGTTAGAGAACATCAAAATATTTTGTGTGTTAAACCATAAATTGGATAGTTTTTCCTTTATGTTTCTGCAAGAAGACTTCAAGGAGCTTCATAGGCAGGCAGTAGTGGGTGCAAAGGAAGCTTTTGGTGGGTGAGATTTCATAAGTGATGGCCTGGGATTTTCAACAGTGCCAGACAACTCACACAGACTGTACGTTCTCCACAAAGACCTTCCAGTGTGACTTTTACTTATAAATTATTGCTACACTCTGTTTTGCCAATACACCTTCTCCAAAGTTGCATGCTTAAAATTACAGGAAAACATTTTTATCTAACCATTAATTTTAATGTTTAGTATTCCAAATAGCAAATTCTCACACTAGCCTTTGGATTTCCATCATACAACAAACACTTCCATGTTTTCTTTTCTGACTACCAAAACTACTTAGGTTTTCAAGAATTACTCTTGTTTTTATCATTAAAATAACAATTGACTAATGTTTCATAAGGAAGTAGCTGTTATTCCAAGATTGTAATTTAGCTGTAAAATGTGATTGCCTGGTTCTGGTAAGACATGAACAAGGACAGAAGGAAGGGAAGGACACAACCCTGACTCCTCAAATTATTGTAATACAAAATACTGCCTAATAAAAAATTATGGATAGCTGCACATTTTTATATTAAAATATATTCTTGAAACTGCTTTGAGTTTAGCCAAAATCTCATTAATGGTGTTATCTAAAACAAGGTAATATGCACTCGGTCGGCATTTCAGGAGGGATTTGCCCAGATCATCCCACAAGATTAAGTTCCTACTTGAAACTTACATGTAAAACACTGTACTCGGATCTGTATTGTGTAAATGGGTTGTCTTTCAGTCTCACTGCTAATCTCTGATTGAAGGCACTTTGAATTGCCCTTTTTGGTTCCTCTGACGACTCATTTCTTTTCCTCTAAATGCTTAATTCTGCGCCTGCTTTCAGTACGGGGACTTTCTTCCACAATATTTGCACGGTCCTCCCCAGTGTACTTTAATTTTGAAGATTTCTTCTGGAGGGAGAAGGATAACCCAGATATCCAAAGCCCCAGCTCACACTCCTCACCAACCTCACTTTTATCTATGCAGACTTTAAACCACCCCGGTCGATAACTCAGTACCCCCGAGGCTCTTGCTCAGAAGTCCTGCTATAGGCTTGGGGTACTGAGGATTTGGTGGGGTTTGAGGCTTTTTTTTTTTTTTTTTTTTTTTTTTTTGGTTCAGGCTGACTTACACCCCCCTCCGGGTCCTGCAGAGGGCGCTCAGGGCGTCCGGCCAGGCCATGAGGCGGCGCCCCGCCCCGTCAGCGCTGGCCAATCAGAGCCCGCCAGCCCGCCCCACCGCGGGACAGCACGAGCCGAGGGAAGCCGAACACGTTCGGCCATTTCCGCCACCGGAGACCCGATGATTTCCGACTGCGCCCAAAGCCAGCGCCGAGCCTCTTCGGCAACTTCCGGAAACCCGGAAGGGAGGCTGCCAAGCGCGTTCGGGCGTCTCCGGAAGGGCAGTGACGCCCGGGCGACAGGAGGGCGGCCGCGCTCCAGCCCCGGCCAGACATGCGGCTGCTCTCGCGGGCCCTCCGCGCGGCCCAAGGCTACCGAGCCGCCGCGCTGCCGCCTCGGAGCCTCCGGGCAGCGCCGGTGGGATGGCCGCTGGCGGCGGCGGCTGCGCGCGCGAGGGGCGCGCCCCGGCGGCGGGAGGGCGGCGCGCGTGTCCCCGGGCGGGGGCGTGACGGCGACACGCGCGCGTGGCAGCGGGGGAGCACGGGGCGCCCCCCTCGGGCCTTCCGGAGGCAAAGACACTGCCCGAGCAGAGGTCGCGAGTACAGGAGGGGGGGAAAGTACTTCCGCCGGCGTGGGAAGCGCTGATACTGGAACCTGTTTCATATAAAACAAAGACAGCTAATCGGGGATGGAAAACTTCTGAAGTTTTGAAGGAGCTTTTTTTTTTTAATCCATTTTTCCCTTGCCGCCAAGGCAGCCCAGTCCGCCTGCCTGTCTCCGTTTTGGCAGTCGTAGAAGTCAGCACCTGAATCTGCTGTCTCCACACCGTGATTTGTCTTTGTTGTGTGTCAGTAGCTGCAACTTTTAGTGCTGCCAAATAATGGGATTATTTTTTTACTAGTAATCAAACTGCGTTTTGATAGCGTTTAGAAATCTAAAATGTAGAAATGGACTACTTTAGCATCAGTAAACATTCTTTAGATGATTAAGTAGTATTCAGATTTTTGCATACAGTGATAGGGGTTTAGTCCTTTTAACAAGGTGTGCCAGTTTTGGAGCCGCTGTGCTCTTTAAATCCTTTATGTTTTTGCCACACTGAAATACAGAAAATAGTTCTTTAGAGCCGCAGAATGGCTTTTGTGGGAAGGACCTTTGGATATCACCCAGTCCACCCTCCTGCTCAAGCAGGGTCACCCACAAGTTGCTCAGGGTTTCACCCAGTTAGGTTTTGAGTATCTCCAGGGATGGAAATTCACAACCAATCTGTGCAACCTGTGCTATTGTTTGACCACTGGCACAGTAATTTTTTTTTTTACGGTTGGCTTGAATTTTAGTTTTGGATGTTTTAGCAGAAATTCTTTTATTTCAGATTTTTCTCATGTCTTATACCTGCACAGGATTAGAAAACACTTAATATGTACTTAGAATCTTCTTTATAGACCATATTAGTAATTTGATTTTCTAACAGGTTTAGGGATAGGGAGGGGTTATGTGGTAATATGGTTTTGGTTTGGGGTTTTTTTTGGTAAAGTAAGTTCTTCATGTGGTTATTTTTTTAAAAGGTTTTCTTAGAATGGCACTGATATACATCTGAAGATTAACCAGGCTCATATATTTCAGATGAGAATGAAGATTTCCGGAAGCTTGCAGAAACAGAAATTGCTTCCTGTGAAGAAGAGATAGTTGAACTGAAACAACAGGTTAGATCCCCTTATAGAGCCCCTGTTTCCTTGCCATTCTTAAATTAACAAGGCCAAATTGGCTCCTTGGGAGTGTTGGAACTAGGTGATATTTAAGGCCCCTTCCAACCCAAACCGTTCTATGATTCTCATCAAGATGTATGTGATAAGTTCTTCTTCCACCCCACTGTGCTAGTTATAGCCCCCAAATAATGTCTGTTAGCTAAGGAAAATAAAAAATCAAGTGCTATAAAGACATCCTGTAAGCAAGTGCCTGTTTGTACCTGAAAATGTTTCAATCAAAGTATCTTTTTAAATGGGTGCTATAGTTTCTCTTGTCTGAGTGTATCTTTATGGATGTCCAACTCTTTAGCCTTTGGAAACATTAAACTTGCATAGTGTCACTTACCGGTGGGTTTGAAAAAATGTAATACTGTGTAACTACTTTAGGCTGCTACTTTATATAAATTTTACAGAGTATCTTTGCTATTTAACCAAAAAAAAAATCCTTAGGTAAACAATTAAGTTTCAACTTAATATTATTATGGAAACTGCTATGGTCGTATTCTTCGTTCCTCCAACAACAACACAACAGTCGCTTTATTTACAGAAATATTTTTGTAAATATTTATGATTCTGCCAAAAGAAGTTGTCATCTGTGGAAATAAAGGAAAGAAACATCACCCAATGCTAGTAAAGGATGAGGATTTAAAAGCATTTGCAAAATTTTGATCATTTTTTGGTTTATGTTTCTTCTGCAAATCAGGCTCTTTTTTTTTTTTTAAATAAATGAACAGATAATACATTTATGTTGTTGTTGAAGGACTGTGCTCCTGAACATCCTTCTTAGCTCTGCAGTTGAGATATAATTAAAGGGGAATCCGTGTTGCAAGAACAGGCATGTATCCTGTGGTTTATCCTCGCAGTGCTCCTGATGGATTAAAATCTTCTCTGAAGTTTTGTGGCTCTCAGGAGAGGCCCGTGTAGCTCCTGTGACCCTGAACAGACACAGGGAGCCTTCCTGCAATGCAGCACCACCCTTGCACACCTTTGCCTGGCTGAAGCCTGTCCTCAGGGCAGGAGAACACAGCCTGGATCAGTTACAGACGTGTCTGCCGTTTTACACTGACTCAGGTGTGGGTAGCAGTGTCAGAGAGGAGTCTTAGCTGGGTGCTTTTGTATTCACAGATAGTGTTGCTTTTGATTCCTTCAGAAGAAACAGATGAGAGTGATCTTGTCATGGAAGTAACTGCTGGAGTTGGAGGGCAGGAAGCCATGCTGTTCACCTCGGAGATATTTGATATGTATCAACGATATGCTGCTTATAAACAGTGGAAATTTGAAATATTAGAATACTTTCCCAGTGAACTAGGTTAGTAATGAAAAAACTGTAACTTCCTAATTCAAGTTGAAACACTCATTCATATGATATATTAATTTCCAAAGTAAAGGAAACTGATTTGCACTATCTTAATTTTAGAAGTGGAATATTGTTTGAATGTCTGAGTACAGTGCTCTTCAGCTTCTGTATTTGGGCATGAAACTCCATTTCAGAAAAACTATTAAAATACAAAAGTGCTACAAAGAAAATTCGTCTTTCAGTAATTTCATTTCTACATTTTGAAATTATTGAAAGACAAGTGCTTGGCAGAAGGAAATTTGGAAAATGATACAGATATGTTGGTTTAGCTTTTTTTTTTAATAAAGATTATGTAAACTTTGTTTGGCTATAGTGTTCTACTTAGTTATCTAATGTTTTATTATTTACAGATTAGGTTGGTGGAAGATTGAAAAAATCTGGTTTTTATTATGAATCTATTGGCATAGAGGAATCATTTTATTAAAACAATTCTTGAAGTTTAATCTAAAACATTTTAAATTTATTTGTAATAGTATCTCATCTATATTATAAGGGAATGGAATATTTGGATGTAGCTCATCTGTAACAGTTGTTAAAATCTTTATCAGAATTTGATTTTCAAAAGTGTTACATTTTTAAACTGTTTTAAAAATCTTTCTTTAGAGTTGTTAGCAAGTATCTTATTTCAAGTTCATGAACATGAACTCAGGCTCCCCTCTAGAGTGGCTTACTCCCCTCTAGAGTGACTGCTAATGATTCAATTAATATACTTTAAAAAATTTATGACACTTGAATTTCTTATTTTCTTTTGCCTAGATTTGTTAATATTAATAAACTTCTTGTATTGTTAAGAGCTCATGTGCCAAGTAAACTGTTTATACAGCTTACATGGCGGTAGGGATAAGCAGCTTCATATTAGAGTACATCTTGTTGCTGAAAGCACAAAGTCATGTTCATCCCCACTTATGGCCAAGCAAACACTTTGCCAGGGGCTGAACCAGTTCAGCCTTCAAAGCCAACAGAAATCTGCTTTGTTTTGTTTTGTTTTTTAAGTAAATGGAATAAACATTGTACATATTAGATGGGTGTAAACAGAAAAGAGGAAGGGTCTGGGTCTTTTTTTTTTTCCCCCACATACTATAGGGAAAGGCGAGTTGCCTTTCCATTGATGCAAGACTTGGATTGGGTGAACCCCAGCAGTCTCATACACTTCACCTTCAGAGCACAGTTTCAGTCAGCTTAAGCAAAGCCTGTCTCATCTTCCAGCAAGCTGTGTGTTTTTTCTTTCTCAGCTCTAGCAGTTTTGAGACCACTGTGCGAATTGGCTGAGTCTACTGACTTGGCTGAAAATTCCTTGTTATGGAATAGTTGTAAGTCAGGTCTGACTCAGCTTACAGTCCTATGATTAGAAAAAAGAGAGAGTTGGGCTTGGCTACCCTTTTGGTGAAAGCTCAGTTCTTGGACAAGGAGCCCACACCCTCAGAGGCCTCATTAATGCCTTAAATGGGAAATTGAACTAATATGTTAATGTAACATAAGTCTATCCATATTTTCTCTTTGAAAGGGAAGGTTTTTTAAATGGTTATATGTTTATTTTAAAGTCTGTTTTGCTAAAAGTTTGTTTATGCACCTTAATTAACATTTAGGATGTAAATCTTGGGTAAAATAAAGGCAGTCCTAGATTTTGTCAGCCTCTTGCAGGTTATTTTTTGATTTTGTGTAACCACATATTATCAAAACAGATGCTGGAGATAAATTGGAAGGTAGGGGCACTCTACCTGGCATGGCCAATGAAATGGATATTTGAACCCTCAGGTTCAAAGTGTCTGTGCTGTGCTGAGTAAGAGTGGATGAGGGTGATGCTAGGCTATTACATCCTACCCACATTCCATTTTTATTGATCACATGAGCAAAAGCAAGGTCCTACGTTAAAATATTAAACTCCCTTGTTTCAGGGAATTTGAATTTGAAATCTGAAGGTGAGCATGTGTGAACCAGGTGTATGTTAAATAAAGCTGCAATAAAATACAGGTTACAGTCCACTCTTCAATGACTATTGACTTACCCCCTGGGATGCCACTGTGCTAAAACAGCATGTTGAAGATTCAGCACACATGTTGAAGCACAAACTCACATGTCATTATTTATTCACTGCTTCTCACCCTGTAGTGGCAGGCAGAGACACAGATGTGGGACTTTTCCCTGATCTAAGATGCCACATAAAAAATGAGCACAAACTCATACCCTTGTTCTGAGTAGATCAGATATTGGGACATTTTATATGAAAGAGACAAACACATAGTTATCAAGTGTTAACTACATTTAACAAGCCTACAACTTGTCTGCCAGCGTAAAAGGTCTGTCAGAATTTCATTAGATTTGGCTGCAGTTCTTAATAAACCTGTGTTGGTGGTAATCAGTTTGAAGCAGTATGGCCTAAATATCTGTCATGTGAACCAGTTTCTTGGTTGTCTTATTCTAAGCACTATAGGCACACATCCCACTACAAATTTTAAAAGCAGAAGGATAAAAATTATGTGAAATTGAAAGCCAAACTGCCTTTTCCTGTCTTTCACAAATATGACTGTAAAACAATATATATTTTACTAAAGTTATGAGTGAACAAACATGTCCATGGAAGTGAACAACCTGGCCTGTATTCTGGCAGATGACTTCTTCCTGCTCCACAGGGCAATTTCAGATTCCATGTTGTCTTCATTTTACTTTTTTAAATAGCTGTTGTCTTGTTCCTATGGTTGAGTTCCTTAGTCTGAAAGATAGCTTAAACCAGTGTTTCTGAGAAGTGTGTGCCTCTTCTTTTCCTCAGCTGTGGTTTCATATTGCAAGGCTTGAAGAGCAATACTCTTTCAAGGCCACCTGTGTCTTGAGTCATTCCCTTGGCACACCATCCACTGTGCTGAGAGTGGGATTTGGGAATTGAGCTGCATTAAAAACAAAAATAGGTGAAATATATTAATTTATAATACATTATATATGGGTAAAATATATTCATTAATTTATATATAAATGATACGTTCATTTATAGTGCCATCACTTCTCTGATCCTTCATTTATACTGTGAACAAGGAAGATCAAGAATGTCATAAAGTAGTAGAGCAACAAACTCTGTCCCAAAGCCATGATTGCTATGGGCTTGACTTTCAAGTTCCAAGCTGTTCAATGCTTGTAGGATGTTCCTGTCAAGTGTTTTGATGGAGGTATTGGTAAGAAGTGCAGGAACCTGTGTTCTGTTTGGTCCACAAAAAAATTATATAGGTGTATATAAAATGTATTACAAATGTATAGAAAAAATTAACAAAAGAGAATCTGACAGTCCTTTCCTTTTTGAACTAGTGTGTGAGTAAATATGTAGTTTTAAGATTGTTCTTGCATTTTTGGCATAATTTTGCCCAAGTGTTTAAATGGTAAGTTTCTCATTTTAAGAAATGCCAGTGGTGTGTAAATACACTGTTTGAAGTATAACAGCATAGTTCTTCAAGGTTTACAAAAGTTTTTCTTCTCTGTTTAAGGTGGCCTAAGACATGCAGTAGCCAGTATCGCAGGTGTTGAGGCTTACAAATACATGAAGTTTGAAGGAGGAGTGCATCGTGTTCAGCGGGTGCCAAAGACAGAAAAACAAGGACGCATTCACACCAGCACAATGACTGTTGCAATATTACCCCAACCCACTGAGGTAATATTTATCTTTCAGTATAACAGAATTTACCAGGAGCAATGTTTGATACAAAGTGTTTTCTGCCTCTCTTGGTATTCTCACATAATGAATTTTTTAATCTTAATTTTAAATTGGGTCATATTTGTTTTTTTGTTTTTTTATTACAGGGATGGAATAAAGAATTTCTATCTTTTCTCATAATCCTAATTTCAGTACTATTTCACTTTAACTATATGTTGAAAATTCACTGTGATGGTCTTGCATGTTTTGTGGAAAACTGCATTTTCTGCAAAGTAACAAAAGACTGAGTCATTTTACCAGGCTCATAGATTACTTCTTTTATCACTTCCTCTTTCCCATTTTTGTAGTGTCCTCACTTGCATATTTTAAAATGTATGGTAATTCAGTTTGGCTATATTTGCTTTCTTAAAAGCAGTGGGCTAAGAAAGCTTTGTTTTGATTTTAGTTTCATATTGATGTAGCAGATTGACAAAGATGTTACTCCTTCCTGAACTTCCTTGAAATTGTCTTGTTCCTTCCTCACAGAGACTATTGCTCCACTCCAGAGCCAAAAAAAGGAATGTCTTCCATTTCATTTAAAAACCATCTAATCAAGCTCAAATATTGGTTAACTCCGCTGGAAGAGAATGCAGAGCTCTCAGAAGAGAGGAAAATTAGTGCTAAGCAATGGTTATGCATTAAGTTACTATTTGGCTGATTTCTGGGGTACCATCATGATACGTTCCAGTCTGATTACTAAGATTTCTTAATGTGTTTATGAGAGGATTTGAATTAGTACCCATAAGCATTCAGAAGTTTGATCTTGCATGAATGTGCCTTCTAAAGTAAACCTACTGTGCATATTTGGTATCTGTCTAGAAAGAAACAACATAAAATACTTTTTTTCTCTTCTTCTGTCTCCCATGACAGATGAGGCTGCAAATTAGTCCAAAAGATCTACGGATAGAAACAAAGCGAGCTAGTGGAGCTGGAGGCCAGCACGTCAATACCACAGATAGTGCTGTGCGGATAGTTCACATTCCAACAGGTGCTGCTTCATCCTTTCCTTAGTACAAGATCTGCATTCCAAAACTGCTGTCAGAATTTCTTTTGAAACAATGGTTTAATTTTCGAACCTGGGCAACAGTAGAGCAGAGGTTTAATGTAGTTTCATGTCTATTCATACTAGTCTAAATGCATCATCTTGTGCCCACTCCAGTTTTTAGCAGTGAAGACTACTGGCTTCACTAGTTAAGCTATAATTTTGCTATTAAACATGACACTCTAAAAGCAGTCAGATAATTTTTTATGAAAAAAATATATTTAAGCTTTCAGATAATGAAAATTACACCGAAAAATGGAGTAGGTTGCTATCTAATGATCTGAATTTTCTTGACTAGTCTCCAAAAGAGAGATTGTGCTATTTTTGTATTAAAACATTACTTTTAATTGCAGAGTCTACTCAGACTGCCAGAGTCTACTCAGAATGCCAGCTCCCATTCGTCTGCTGGCTCCCTTCCCATAGATGACACACATAATTAAGAGGCCCATCCCTCTGGCTCAGGTTAGGAAACATATCAGGGATAAGATACACCCTCAAACACTACCTGATTTTAGCTGTTATATGGGGGCTTTTTATTGCCATTCCTAAGCCTTTTACTTCCCTTTGAGCAAATCACAACAGCCTTCTTGACTTTCATTGCATTTTAACTTTTCCTCTTCTCTACCACAAACATACATCAGGCTTTACACGGTTTCAGGGTAATCCCAAGCCCTCTTCATGTATCCAGATTTTTGCCACGCATTTCTTTGTACCTGTTTAAACATCAATCCATTCTGCCCTTGCTGTATCACTCCAGTAAAGCAGAAGGCTAGCAGTAGAGAGGTTAAAATTCTGTTCACTATATGATGACAAAAAGATTCCCCAGATTAAAAATGTTTTGCATTGTCTGTATGTTTGGATAAAATCACATCAAGCTAAAACCAGCAACTGATCTTAGTTTTTGCTGATAGCAGTTATTAGGGTGTGTTATAGAAGTCTTAAATTGCAAATTTTTTGCACTTATACAGAGTTAGTGGGGGAGTTCATACCTCACATTAGCTCCTGACTTTTTCCTCTTCCACCTTTCCCTTTTTCATTTCTCTGATCTCTCTTCCCTTAAAATTGTCCTGCTTCTTCTATTTCTCTCATTCTAAATCTTTTTATAAACCTTCACTGTGATCCAAAATGTTGTTTGTAAATAAGTCTTTCAGAAAGTAATACTATGTAATCTTATAAAATCATCATGTAATATTACCAGAGCTACTTGGTAAGTCCAGATAACAACTTAGCTCGTACTATATTTCTTCTTCCTGATCCTTTCTGGGGCTTTTCATTTCTTACCTTTAATTGTATGTTTTGGGATGAGAAAACACACCCTTCTATTATTTTAAATAAAATAGTTCCCACTTTTTTATATTCTGACCATATGCTAAGCACTCACTATCTTACGTATTTTAGTGTTCCTTAAATCCTGCATTTCCTGGAACTGTGGCCAAAATTTACAATGAAGCTGTCTTTTATAACTCAGATCACATCACATATCTTTTATTTCATTATTCATCTGTTGTCCAGGTGAAATAAATTTCCACTGAATTAAATTTGTTTTATGGCTTAAAGCACCTGTACAACTCAGCCTACACGTCTCTCCCAAAATGTATCATTACTCATTAATAAACCTGGACTTCTACATTCCCAGTCCAAATGTAAGAGCCTAATATAACATATAAAAAATCTTCCAGAAATTGCTGAGCTCTTTTAGTATGTGTTAATCTTAAATGCTAAATGTCACGATATTTTTGACAGGGATTGTGTCTGAATGTCAGCAAGAAAGATCCCAAATTAGAAACAAAGAGAAGGCTATGCGAATGCTATGTGCTAAACTATACAACGCCAAACTAGAAGAAGAAACCAAAAAGAGAAACTATGCTCGAAAGATTCAAGTAAGTTTCATTTTGTTGTGATCTAATTCTGTGCAAACATATGTCTTGAGGGTAACACCTTTGTTGAACAGCAAGTAATAAATGGAAATATAGAGCAGCAGGAGCCCAGGAAAGACTTATATGAGGCAAAAAAAGTCATAGAATCACAGAATGGTTTGGGTTGGCAGGGACCTTAAAAATAATCCAGCTCCAACCCTCCTACCATGGGAAGGGATGCCTTCCACTAGGCCACTCTGGAGAACAAAATTTGTGGAGTTCCCAAGCTCTCTGAACAACAGCATTACATTTTACTGCAGCAATAAAAGCCATATATTAGCCAGACTTAAAATTTCAGTAGTAGGTAAATCCTAGAGATCCAGTGAAACAAACTGGATTGCAGCATGAAGAACCAGAATAGTATTAGAAAAAGATGCAGTAAAATTTTTCTTTTACGTGTTTGAGAACAATTACTGCAGCTGTAGAAGTGATCTGAGTACTATGTAACTATAACAAATTTTGTGTAGTCATGTGAGGAAGAGAAACCTTTTGCTTTATATGCCTAATCAATATTTTGCTATTTTTTTTAAGATGATCATAAACTGATTCTTCTTGTTCTACAGGTTGGGACTAAAGGAAGATCAGAGAAGATCAGAACATACAACTTTCCACAGGACCGGATTACAGACCACAGAATAAGCAGATCGGTGCATCATGTTGAGTCTTTCATGCTAGGGGAAGAAATGCTAGACAAAATGATACAAACTGTGAGAGAATATGCTGATTATGAATCTCTAATGGAAATTATTTCAGAAAATGAAAAAAATAATTCCTCCTGAACATTGTTCTTTCTCAGGCCATTGGAACAGACGTAAACTTTGGTCTGCAAAGAAGCTTCTCAGAGCACCACCCAGAAAATGGAACTTCTTTTCAGATCATGAAAAACATCCCAACTTGTTTCTTTGTGAATATTAAACAGTTTTCTTACCTGCTGAGTAAAAGACTTTATTATCTTCATATGACATTTCTGCAGTAGTCCTTTTGAAAAGTTTATTTGACTGCACCAGAAGTAACAGCAGTTTTTAACTTCTACTGGGAACTGATACACCCCTCTCAAAAGGTATGCATGAATTAAAAAAGGAGTTATTTCTAGTTCCATTTTCATTTAACTATGGCTTAACTATTTCACAATAGTATGAAATAGCTTACGTGGGAGAGCAAAAAAATCCTATTTTGTTTGGGTGATTGGAAAAAAGTGATAAATAAATGATCCCAGTCTGTCTATCCAAATATTTATTAGTCACTTACATGTGTTATAGGAACAGGAGTCAAAGTATATCTCTGTCATGTTTTCAAGGCCTTCTGGCCCTTATTTATAAATGCAAAACAAGTTTAGGAATATCCCTTGTTCAAGGAAAAAAAGCCATGGAAGCCAATGTGATGAATCATAAGAATTGGTTTTGCAACAAATGTTTCTGTTCTTGAATCAAAAATAAAAGTAATTGTTACAATATTGTTCAAATGATATTTTAGTATCCAGTTGACTTCAGTGTCTCCTTTATGGTTTTAATTGAATGTCCAAGTTATTGACCTTCTAAAAGCTATGCACTATGACCAGCACTTACTCATTTTGCCTGTTTATTTAACAGCATTTTACAACATTTGATACCTGTATCTTTTTTTTTTTTTTCCTAGTAAACACTGCATGGTAACTATGATTAAGTACCAAGTCTTTTAATTTAAGATGCATTCATTAACTTCAGATGAAGGAATGTCTGTGTGCATAAGATGAGGCATACGTATTTCCTTTTGATGAGCATGAGTCCTAGATCTGTATTTACTAGCAGTTTTATAACTCCAAACTGGCACATAAAAAAACTAAAAAGAAACATTGACTCAATTTTTTGTGTAAAATAATTAGATACCTATTGGAGCAGAAACTAGGACTGAAGTCTTCATCCTTACCAGATCAGTATGGTAAATGGAACACTGGAGAGCACTTGTGACAGTCCTACAGATGTGACTTAAAGCCAGGCCTTCTTATGCCAAGTGATGGATGGAGTTTGCTGTTCAGCTTCATATTCTTCCAAACAAATAAGGGCCATTGATCAGGTCTGCAGACTGGACTTCTGCATGAAACTTAGACACTTGTTTTGGTCTTTGTCACCCTAGACCTTCCCTGATCATCCAGCTTGTAGCCTGTCTGGCCAGATCCTGCCTTCCTATTCTCTTCTGGCTCTTGGACAAACACTAAACGTGTTGTTGCCTTGCAATTGACCAGGCTCTGATCAGTGTGAGAAAAAACAGACATCGTGTGTCTCTGGCGGGAGGCTGACAGAGGTATTGCAAACCTAGTGTCTGACAGTGCTGTACATAGGGGGACTTCAGTGTCATTGGCCTGTCACATCAAGCTTTACTGTGTAAAGACTTGGAAGTCCCCCTCTCTGTATTAATTTTAATGCAAGGGATGTTGTCTCTGCAAGTGCAACCTCCTTGAGCTGTGAGCAGATTGCCTTTCCAGCAGTGGTGGGGATCCCTGCACTGGTGTCCAGTCAGCCTAGCTCCCAGTGGTGCTCCTGCTCACTCTGCAACCACTGCTAGCGTTGGTCATATGAAATAAGTACAATTCTTTTATGGGGAGTAGCCCAGATCCACTGCCAGACTTGAATCACAGAATGGGTCACGTTGGCAGGGACAACAGTGGGTCATGCAGTCCAACATCCCTCCTTAAGCCTGGTCATCCTAGAGCACATGGCACAAGATTGCATCCGGGCAGTTCTTGAACATCCCCAGTGTGGGAAAGAATCCTTTCCCGGCAGAGGAGCTTTGCACATTCGGTGATGTGAAGATCCCAGACGCGTCCATTTAAACAAGCAGACGCAGATGTAGCTGGGCGCCAGGCTGCGCTTAGGCGCGTGTCGGTGCCGGGACGCGGCAGCCGCGGGTTCCTGCGGGACGGAGAGCGGTGCGGGGCCGGAGGGCGGGAGGAAGGGGCGGGCGGGAGCGGCCGGCGCGCGGGAGCCGCGGCCGCGCCACTCGCGTCCCTCCCTGGCGGCCGAGGAGGGAAAGCGAGGGGCGGGCCCGGCCCCGCCCGCCGCGACGCGGATTGGCCCCCGCAGCCTGCCCGCCGCCCATTGGCCGCCTACGGCGCCCCGGCGCCTCGCCATTGGCTGGCGCGGTTTTGGACACCAAATTTAAAGTTTTTAAAAAGCGCCCGGCGCGAGCGGGACTCACTCACTGCCCGCGGCGGCGCTGGCGCGGCCCTGCAGGTGAGCCCGGGGCGGGCGGCGAGCTCCGCCGGGAGCCGATCGGGGGCTGCGGGGCTCCACGGCCAGGGCGCCGCTCTCGGGCCGGCTCGGGGGCAGCGGGGCTCCGCGGTCAGGGCTCTTTGGCTGGGGTGGCGGGAGCTGCTGGCGTGCGTGGCGGCGGGACCGTGCGGATGCTAGGGCGCTGTAGTGGGACCAGACGGACTGGGGACGGGGATTCCTGGCGGCCGCCCGCTTTCACTGCCTTCCTTGCCTAGCCCCGCAGCTATCCCGCCGGCGGGACGGCATGGGATGGGACGGTGGCGCGTTGGCGGCCAGGGAGCGCCCCGATCCCGCCAACGCGCCGCGTGCGGGGTGGTCCCGGCTGCTCTCCGCACTGGCGGGGCCGGGGTCGGCCGGGATGCGGATCGCAGCTCGGCTCCCGCCGGCGGGCAGCAGCGGGCGGGGAAGCGCCGCGCCGCTCTGTCTCCCGCCCGCCGGCCACGCCGTCGGAAGGGCATCCCCCCGGCGCTCCTGCCCGTCCCGCCACCACCGTTTTAGGGGGAGTCTTCCATTGTGGGGGAAATCCTCCACTGCGGGAAGTCCCCGAAGGCGCGGGGTGAAGTTCCCGGGGCCATGGGGCACGGCAGAGCCGGGACCCGGTCTACCTGCCCCGACCCGGGCCATCTTGAGCGCTGGGCGGGAGAAGCCTGGCAGTGCCGCGGGGCCCCGCGGCTGAGCCCTCTCCTCCGGGGATCGGGGCAGGCCATGGTGCACCGAAACGTGATTTGGGAACATTTTTCAAATCATCAGGATTTCAGTCCAAAAGCTTCTCTGGCCCTTCGCAGGGAAGGGGGGAAGGGGAGGAGGAGGCATAGGAAGGGCTTGCATTTCTTCCCCCAACTCACACGATACAAAGCCATAATCCTATTTGCTCCCTTCTCTCACCAAACGTAGGTACAAAGAGAGAACTTTTTCTCTAAGTCGTTCATGAAACACATTTTTCTCGTGCTTCTTTACAAAACGGATGGAAGCGCTTAAATCCTTTAAAATGCTTATTAAATCGGGGATCTTCCATTTCTTATGCATTGCAAAGGATGTTGAAATTTATTTTCCCTTTAGATTTAACTGGGGAGAGATGACCTCCTTCTCCCCTTCAGCTCTCGCCCATCCCCCCGCAATTGTTAATATAGATAGCACCACATTTCGCGGGGGAAGGGAATGGAACAGGGCAAGAAAAGCTCAATTCTCCTATGATACCTATCGATCTCCCACCCTCTTCAAATCATGCTTAAGCCTTTATTTCACCTACCATTATTTAAGTATGACTGCTTTCCTTTGTATTCTACTCACACATGTGAGCACTCAAGCCTTTCCTGTGCCCCCAGCTTCCTCCCTTCTCAAAAATGCCAGATATCTGGCTGCAGCAGCAGCGTTGCTTCTGGTCTTGGATGCAAACTTCAGGCTTCTCTGGCCTGCACAGGCCTGCGGTCACTCATGGGCCCTCTGCCATTGGTGTCCCTTGCAGGGACCTCAAGTGTCTTGACTATGTTGCTACCTTTATGGTAGGAAGTGGAAGCACTGGTGTGTCTCATCTATGCTGGTGAAATGGTGACCAAGTAAATCACTCAGTCAATTTTCTTTCCCTAGTTATATGCAGCATAAGACTAGTTTTTGGGAAGATCTTACATAGATTTCATCAGTGGCTGTTCTAATCCTTAGTTCCATTAGTTGTATTTTAGATGTTTTAGAGGGTGAGTCAGATAAAAGCATAAAATTCATAATGCAGAAGGCAATCATGGTAGAGTCTTTATAAGAGAAAAACTTTGTGATCTCGTTTATGCTGTGTTTTCATACTGCCCTTGTTGTTTCTTGCAGAATACAAAGAACAAAATGAAATCAAACCTTAACCGCTCTTGCAAAATGAAACATGATTTTGATTGCGCATCTCTTCGTGCTGGGTTTGCACCATTGAAATGTGCTCTGGAGAAAACAAGACTGGAAAAATCCTGCCCCTTGAATTATGAGGAAGGCTTTTGTAAAAGCTGTGCAGAAGAACATCAGAAAATACTCCTCAGTGACTCATACCATGCAGCCACCAGAAACCTAGGTCTTGAAGATGGAGAAAGACCCATACATAACAAAGAAAACAGCCAAGTAACCCAGAGACTTGATGAAGGTATCTGTGAAATGGAGGCAATGGAAAGCAGTAAACTTAATGAGGACAGTGGTTATTCCTCTATGTTAAGTACTCACTATGCTGATGCAATAGAACATGAGGATAGTTTACCTTTGGCTGGGAACCTCTGTGGTACACCAAAGCATTGTCTCATGAAGAACCAAAAACAAGAACAGTTTTCAAAGAAGACACTGTTGCCCGTAATCCATTATGAAGAAGTAATTTGCTCAACTTTGAAAAAAAGTGGCAAAAGAAATCTCAAGTCTTGGGCTGCTGTAGATAGAATTGTTTCTAGGGGAAAATTTGAACTTTGTAACTTAATTGGAAGGAAAATGGGGCTAGATAGAATAGACATTCTCGCTGAACTCTTCCAAAAGGACCTGAAGCATGTATTAGCAAACATTTTAAGGCATCTCAGCGAGATGGATTTAGTAAAGTAAGTATATTGATGTAATTGTATTTCACTGAGAAAGGAAAAAACCTAATCAGATGCCTTAATGGTTTAGATACGGGGCTTTTGTGACATTTACTCAATGTTTAGTATTATGTGTTATGTAAGCTGTGATACATATGGAGAATGTGTCTTTTCCCTAAAAGGCAAATTAAAGACTACAACTGTAAACATATTCTCTGTTTACATAAAAGAAAAAGGTTATTCTTGCTATTTAATAAATCCCTTTCCTAGGAGGCAACTGATGTGTTTGTATTGTTGTTGCAGTTTTGCCAAAGTCAGCACAACATGGCAGAAGATTCTACAAGAAGATAAATGGATTTTCCAAATGTATAGCAGAGCTGTGAAAAACCTTTCTGTAAGTTTCTGCACTGAACCGTCAGTGTTTTTCTGCTATTTTTGCAGAACATTTTCTGCTGTTTCAGGTCTCCTCCTACACTTAAGAGATCACAGATAAGTTTTCTAGATTGAAAACTGTCACTGGAGTGTATAAGTTCATCCTGTTAGGCTGCCTTGTCTCAAGCATTGCTAGTTACATCAAGGACTTTGGGGAACCCAAGGAAGCTGACTGAGAAGGTGACCCAAGGACAGATGTAGATGTTTTAAGAGTTCCACAAGTCCTGTGTTACAGAGAAAGGCAG